ACTGAATTTAGAGTCTAATTTGGTCTATATATGTAGAGGGCCTATGATGTGTGATTGGTGAGCAGATGCGTTCGCTCAAGCTAGATCAGTGCAAGCGAAGGTTTCATTAAGAAGTTTTACAAACGTATGTTATCCATCTGTCCTGCGCATTTCAAAGGTAAGGGTACACCATCTTAATGCATACTTGGTGGGAAAGAAGTTTTTATGAGTTTTCTATCTGTACTTTTCAACTTTGATCGTAGATACTTTGTTCTGAAGGTCTTATTCATATGAGTCTTAGGCAAGAACTATATTAAATGTGGAGTATATAAGGTTGTTAAGGAGTTTGTAGTGGGGAATCAAATTGGACCTATGTCTTCTTTTCCAAAAGTGCTCAAGTCCTAGGGGAGTGTATTCAATGGGTTAGTCGGTCTTAAGCATTTTGCTGGTGATATCCTGTTGTATTCCTTCCACCTTATGCTTATTGCGGGGGTGTAAGTTGAAAAATAAGAACAAACGGTGTTCAGCGATAGGTCTTAAACATATCTCGTAAAGAATGAGTTTAAATTCATTTTGAAAGAGGTTACGAAAAAGACTGTGTGAATGACATTCCTCATGGTCAGTTACTGATGTGAGTTTGGACAGTGCGATCTTATTAAGTGTTAGTTTTGCTCTAAGAGACGTGTCTCCAACACACAGCTAACCGCATTTCTCCGTGTTGAGCTCTAACATTCAGCGCTTCCATTAGTTGTCTACCTTATTAAGTTCATGTTAAGTTGTTTGCATAGTACTGCGTTCATCGCAAATCTTAGTTTTATAGATGACTTTTATGTAATCTATGTCATCAGCGTAAAGATAGGTCTTACCTGTGTGAAGCACCTACATCTGTTGTCGATGTGGATTGTGAGAAGCAGTGGACTCAAGACACCATCCTGCACAACACCATTGGTTACTGGTCAAGGTGTAGATGTTGTAAAGTTAATTTTGTTTATTTAGTAGTTGTTTATGATAAAAGAATTAATTCATTTCAATAAAGGGTTTGCAATTCTAACTAACTGAAGTCTATTGATAAGAAGATTATGAGGTACCTTATCAAAAGCCTTCTCAACATCGAAAAACAGAAGGATCACTAGTTTCTTTTGGTCACGTGTGCAAGTAACCACGTTAAAGAAGTCTATCAGACATATAACTCAGGACCTCGTTCTAATGATGCCGTGTTGTGACTGGTCTATTGAATCTTCATTAAGTAGGTGATCACATAGTTGATCTTGTATCACTTTGTCCATTGTACGTGATATAACTGAGGTAATATCTATAGGTCTGCAGTTTTCAATCAGGTTTCTCGGTCTTGATTTGTGTTTGAGGATGACATAAATTATTATTATTATTATTAGTATTATTATTCACAAACATCTGATGGGTACATAAGTTACTTACTTACGCCTGTTACCCCTCGTCGAGGAGCATAGGCCGCTCACCAGCATTCTCCATCTAACTCTGTCCTGAGCCTTCCTTTCCAGTTGCTATTCATCCTTTTCATATCGGCTTCTATTTCCCGGCGTAGTGTGTTCTTTGGCCTTCCTCTTTTCCGCTTCCCTTCCGGATTCCAAGTTAGGGATTGCCTTGTAATTCACGTTAGTGATTTCCTTAACGTATGTCCGATCCACTTCCAACGTCTTTTCCTAATTTCCTCTTCAGCTGGAAGCTGGTTTGTCCTCTCCCATAAAACGCTGTTGCTGATAGTATCCGGCCAATGGATGTTGAGTATTTTGCGTGGACAACTGTTTATAAATATTTGTACCTTCCTGATGATGGCCGTAGTAGTTCTCCACGTTTCAGCTCCATACAGTAGGACTGTCTTGACGTTCGTATTAAAGATTCTGACCTTGAAATTGGTTGAGAGTTGTTTTGAGTTCCATATGTTCTTCAATTGTAGAAATGCTGCCCTTGCTTTGCCAATCCTCGCCTTTACATCTGCATCCGATCCTCCTTGTTTATCAACGATGCTCCCCAGGTACTTGAATGTTTCCACCTCTTCCAGAGTTTCGCCATCAAGTGTGATTGGGTTGGTGTTCTCCGTGTTGCATTTGAGAATCTTGCTTTTTCCTTTGTGAATGTGGAGGCCTATCGATGCGGAGGCTGCTGCTACATTTGCTGTCTTCATCTGCATTTGTTTGTGTATATGAGAGAGGAGGGCTAGGTCATCTGCGAAGTCCAAATCATCTAATTGATTCTGAGATATCCATTGTATTCCGTGTTTTCCTTCAGATGTTGAAGTCTTCATAATCCAGTCAATCACTAGAAGGAAGAGGAATGTGGAGAGTAGATAGCGTTGTCTGACTCCGGTCCTTATTGGAAATGCACCTGTCAGCTGTCCTCCATGCACCACTTTGCACTGTAGTCCATAGTATGAGTTTTGGATAATGTTGACAATCTTTTGAGGAACTCCATAGTGTCGAAGAAGTTTCCATAATGTTCTCCTTTCCACGCTGTCAAACGCCTTCTCATAGTTAATAAAGTTGACGTATAGTGATGAGTTCCACTCAACTGATTGTTCAACGATGATCCGTAGTGTCGCAATCTGGTCTGTGCACGACCGATCCTTACGGAATCCAGCCTGTTGATCCCTAAGTTCGGCGTCTACTGCTTCTTTCATCCTGTTCAGCAGCACTCTGTTGAAAACTTTTCCTGGTACTGATGACAAACTGATGCCTCTGTAATTTTCACATTTGCTCAGATCTCCTTTCTTTGGTATCTTGATGAGATATCCTTCTTTCCAGTCCGTTGGCACTTGTTCCTCTTCCCAAACCTTCTTGAATAGAAGGTGAAGCATGTTTGCAGTTATTTCAATGTCTGACTTCAGTGCTTCTGCTGGTATATTGTCAGGTCCTGCCGCCTTCCCACTTTTGATTTGTCTGATGGCCATCTTGAATTCTTCGATCGTTGGTGGAGCGACATCTATTGGAAGGTCTGTGTGGGCTGCTTCGATGTTCGGTGGATTCAATGGGGCTGGTCTATTCAGCAGTTCCTCGAAGTATTCTGCCCATCTTTTCCTCTTTTCTTGAATCTCAGTGATTGTCTTTCCTTCTTTGTCCTTGACTGGTCTCTCTGGTTTGCTATATCTCCCTGCCAATTTCTTCGTTGTATCATATAGTTGTTTCATATTCCCTTTTTTTGCAGCCTTTTCCGCCGCGGTTGCTAGTTCTCCCATGTATTTCTGCTTGTCGGCTTAAATGCTTTTCTTCACTTCCCTGTTTGCTTCTGCGTAGTCTGTTTGTGCTTTGACTTTCTCTGCTCGTGTTTGGCTGTTGTTAATTGCTAGTTTCTTGTTCTTCCCTTCTTGAATCTTGTCCAGGGAACCCAAAGAGATCCATTCCTTATGATGATGTTTCTTAGGACCCAGAACCTCCTGACACGTTGAGGTTAGTGCTTCTTTGATCTCTTTCCAGTTGTCCTCCAAAGTAGTTTCTTGTTCTTTCAGTAGATCCTGTAGAGCTTGGAACTTGTTGTTGAGAGTTATCTTGAATTCATGGAGCTTGTCAATATCTCGAAGGAAGGCGTTTTTTTAGCGAGTTAACTTTTCTGCGGGACGGGGTCGCTAACCCCATGCCAAACCCTCCTCCTTTACCCGCGCTTGGGACCGGCAGTAACTCTAGAAGAGCAACAGCAGGAGTTAAGTGGCTAGCAGTGGAATCCAGGACGCACGTTTCATCCTATTTGGGACTCGTCAGCTGGATGTACCTGCATCTCAGAGTTGATGTTCACTGTGGGACTCGAACCCAGTGACCTCGCTTCAAACGCCATTGCGTTATCCACTCGGCCACTGAGTCCCTAAGTGCTGTGAAGAAACCATTTCCGGTTTCTTCAAAAATGTAATAATGCACAATTTTCAATAAATACATTCCAGGTTTCGGGATGTGTACCTGCCTCTTAGGATAATGTGAATACTTTGAGTAATGGTATGTGTATGTCCGGTTGAGCAATTTTATAAAGAATCGATGAGGTGTCATGAGCACAAGAACTCGCAATCAGTTTAAGCGTTTTTATGTCAGCGTGCACACTACTAAAATCAAAGTTAATAGTAAGAAGATAACTTTCGCTGGTGAACTTGATGTTAATATCTGGGGCATGAGATGTATTCTTATTGTGAGTAAACAACTCACTCAGCAGTTCATATATGACAGTTTGATCATATAACGTCACACTATCGTGCAGTATGGAGTAAAAATTGTGATTTGTACTCTTTCTTACTCGCTTTTCGAGGAGACAGCGTAAGTTTTGGGACTTGGTTGCACACAAATGTTTTCCGCTCATGATAATACTGATTGAATGAAAGAATCATAGCTGTGGCAGTTTCTAGTTTCACGACCGATGAAAAAAATATATGGACAATTAAAGACATGAAAAAGTTAGTGAATATCTGCTTGAGCTTTAATGTCTTAACATTTACTTAGATGTTTTAGATCAGCTCTTAGCCAAGCAAACGGAGTTGTTACAGATTCATCGATATGATTTTGGTATTATTTTTACCCGTTTTGAATATCTTCATTATATTCCTTGGTGGATTATCCTGACATTACAACCATTGAGAGAGCCCGGCTACGAGCCACTATATTATCTTTCACATGTTTCCTCCAGCTAATGGTCTCTATGATCTTGAGTTTCACAGAAATGATTTGGTCAACAAACTTACACAACCATAATCCAAAGTCATACAATACAATGAATTCTGTTGTTTTGTGACCTGACAACATACTCGCTACAGACACATCTGCAGTTGATAGTGAGTGACATTAAGATTCAGGTATGATGACTACTAGGAAATCGGAACAATTGGAGAGAGGGCATTGCAATTCCAGAGCTTATTGTAATTTTGGTACTTGGAATATACATCTAGTGTCCCATCTCCTAAAGTGTCAATCTTCGATGAAGGCTATAAACCCATGATCCTTGGTGAAAAAAAATGAGAACCTAAAGCTGATTAAAAACAAAAAGCTGTTCTTCATTGTGATCAACCTTCTAATATCAGCTTGCATATCCTATGAAACGATAAGTATCTGATATTTACTTGACAGAGTTTAATGGTTGATATAAAGCATTAAGGACATCGTAGACCTTGCATGACCTTCACAAAAAGCAAAATATTAAATTTTCGCGCAATTTTGTTTGTGATCGTCTTTAATAATCTATTAGTACTTTTTGTGATCTTTTCGAAGGTATCGCACTGTTTTCTCTAAAAAATGTCTTGTCTTTTAAGATGCATTTATATGATGACTAAAGTGGCATACGACTCTAGTTCCTTCCAAGTAATGTCTCTCTGCAAATTGCAAGTACCATTTTATCTCTTGTAATGGGCGAGAACCACACATGTGGATGGTTTCAATGTTGTTAAACATGTTTTATCGTTTGTAGTTTACTTAGACCACAATGTCACATGCTTCACATTCTAACCGTCTACTTGATTTCTGCAATTTTCACATTGTGTCCGTTTGTGGTTGTTTTAACTTAAATTGGAAGCAAGAAACAAACATACTGAATACCTCACATCGTTGCCCATATTATTTTACAAACTCAGTCATAACTATGTCTGTTTACATATATGTAAACGGATTTTTTTTCCATCTTATCTACAGTCTCAAAGATAACTTAGTTAGTACGGCCGATGTTACCATGTTTGATTGCAGCTTGTTAAAAAGTATCCCGTTGAGTTCGGTTTTTATTTTTTTAGTTTTGTCGGCCAACTAGTCTCTTCATAAATGTAATAAACGTCTTCTTTAAAAGCTATTAAAACCATAGAAAGTAAGATATAGCCCTAGTCTTCATAACACGAGTTATAAAATTTTCAACTACTGAGAAGTTATTCGTCACTCATCAGTACCACACGTAATTTGTTCAAGGATGTAGAGTAATTTATCTCTGTTTCCAGTGATCCTTACATTTAATGGAATTTTAGCGTTTAAGAAGCCAAGTGACGTAATATATCTCTTTTTAGTATTTTGTTGAAAGATTTCCAGTGACAGATTTGTCCTCTTTTACTACTTTTTACAGTTCAGTTAACGTATTAACATATTTCTCAGACCATCGGTTTCTTATTGTTTGACATTCTCCTTCAGGAAATTTCCACAAATAACTCTTTCTTCTTGCTAAACATTTGAATTTATAGCTTTGAAAGCTCTGAAGCCTGATTAAATAATGGGAGAACAAGTCCGATCGCCACCTGTTGATAGGTAAAATGCTACGGTTTCTGATTTTTAGGTACAATTTGGCTTACATTTTTCTGTTTTTGCACGGTATTGGATTTCTGATACCATGGAACGTCTTTATTAATGGCTATGAGGTATAGTATGTTTAGTACTCAATAATGTATGCTAGTATTTTGATTACAAGTTAAATACAAAAACGAGCTCCAATGCGGACTATCGTGTCAATCTTCTTAGCTATTTCGGTTTTGCTGCCCAGTTCCCCAGTTTATGTTTTGCTGCATGGAATACGTTTTATCAAAGTGGTTCTGTGTAAGTGAAATTACTTGATTCATAATTTTGTTTGTTTTAGATGAAATCTTATAAACTAAGATCCGATATATGTTCATTAGGTTTCCGCTCTACAAGTTCTCATTGAGGAGAAAAGAACTAGCTTATTGTTTTTCTGCATTTACTAGTGTATAATTTATCTGTAAGAAGTCATTTATACTTAGCCGACTGACAAATGCTACTCTAGCTTGTCATATCCATTGTCTTAGATCAATTGTATTTTTGCAGGGATTTCTCAAAAATCCCAAACTACAGGTTTCTTTTTCTATCCTATTGTTCCATTTTTTGCAAATAGTTGAGTTGATCCATATGAGTGTATATGAAGGGTCATAAAACTATGAATGTTTCTTGTCTTGGCCCGTGTTTTTTCTTTATGAGCTTACTTTCTGGAAGTCCGCTTATACTCATTTTCAGTCTTCTATTTGTTTGGGATCGATATAAAAATAATTTGAGGATAAAGTCGCTTATTTTGTATATTTACTTGTTCTAGGTCATTACTAAGTTGTTCCGGCCAACTGACTGTTTGGCTGAATAGTAATTGATCTATTCTTTATTAAGTTATTTGAATATAACTCTGTTTTTCTTTTCTTTCCGGTTTTGCATAGAATTGTTTGCCTAGCCCTTTGATATTTAAAAAGTGTGATAACAAGAATGTTTAGCTTAAGGTGTTGTTATTTATTTAAAATGGTGATATATAATACTGATTTAGTCTCTTTATGTAGGACCTCAACTCCACGATTTCGATTTTTGGGATGCATGATCGTCGAGATTATTGTCTTCGTACTAACTATTATTTTGGCTTTGATTGATACATCGAACAGTAAGCGTTTCATTCAATAATTGTAACCTTTTTATTTTGCGTTTTAGTATCATTTAACAGTTACTGATTACATTTACTTGTTCATCCAACAACTCAAACATGCCATATGATCAAAAGTGTCTGGTAAACAAATTTGTCATCTGACTACGTGCTACTGACTTTCTAATCGTACTTAAAATATTAATGAAATGCTTAGAAATGGACCCTTTATAACTTAGTGTAGGCAAGTGAAAGTGGTCTTATCATATTTGATTATAATCAGATAAGAAAGATTAACTTCAATTGCATTTGGCTTTTAACTGTCATAAGTTTACGTAAGTAACTTTTATCCGAAATAAATTATTCGATACTTTAATGAAAGAAACTGCTTGAAAGAGTGTGCTTTCTTTTTACTGAGTTGTTTTAGAGATTCTTTTTAAGTGTTCACAAATATTAGGTTGTTCTTATATAAATGATACATGTCTGGCGGTAATCATTGTGGTGTCTTATATTACATTGAACGTTTCAGCAGGTGAAGCAGTTACAGTTGTTTTCCTAACTTTTTCTGCTTTCAGTTTTACTGTAAACATGTTTTTATTGTCATCAAAAGACACAAACTTAAGCACACTTCCTTACACTTGTTTCCCAGTATGATCTTTCAGTTGAGGTTGAAATTAATTCATATAAAAATGTGACTACTAACCGAGTTAATTATAATACGAATTGGAAGACTAACTTTTGTAACTAAGAACAATAAATAATATTTTTAAAAATGAGGTTCTCTCTTTTCGTAACACAAATTTAAGTTATAAAATCGACATAGTTAGATGATCACTACAAACTTTTGTTGTTGTATAAGGTGTATGAATCTATTCACCTGTATTTCAGGGTTACTACAACATCTGTAAGCCGTTTCGTCAAAGCCGTTTTCACTGAATATTCATAGTATTGGTTCATTATATATATGAAATTTTGAATAAGGCTGTTGTGTCTAGTTAATATTTCAGGACTAATTATTAGTCTGTTCATATTTGTTGCAGATACATAAATAATAGGAAAACAATAGAACCTTGTCTCTTTGGTATGTGTAGTTACTTGAAACAAAGCTTTACAAAAAACCAGTGGATTTGCACTTTTGAAGATTATTTCACAAGTTTTCATGATATATAATATCGGGAGAAAAAATGTAGTATACATAACAAAAACTTTGTACTTCAAATTTGTTTTTGAAAAATAGTGACGATTCCATTTAAATCAAACAAAATGAATATCATGTGCAATCCTATACAAGTCAATGTTGCAGTAATATTTTAACATTGTTTAACCTGTGAGAGTAGTTTATTGTGTAAAAGGATGCACTTTACTTTCCGGAGTTATTTTACTATTTTATTCGACACACATTATAATAAAACTAATTTATACAAGTTGCTCTGTTGTATAAGCTATCACTAATCCTGGTTTTTCATTCAAATGTAAGTGTTTACATGAACTAAAACACAACCGAATAAACTTTGTTACAAATCAATTTACTTCGTAAGAATGAAATACCTTATGTGATAAAAAGTGACATTGTATTTCAAATGAAGAAGATACGTGTCGTCATGTATATGGATTTATGTAGTATATGTATCGAAGCTATTTGTATGAATAGCTAGGTGGATGCTTAGTTATAAATGACAAATCAGTGTAATCAGTCCGAATTTGAGCACTTCCAAATAACTGAAATGAAATATGCTACGACTTCGTACGGTCAATATCACGAGCCACTTTTCATCATGTCAAGTTGTTATCATGGATAATTAAAGCTAAAATGTTGGTTATTTGATTGATGACAACTGTATCGTCCATGAAATAAAATGACTTTGTTGAAGACAAATAGGTAAAATATAATTATCCGTGATCAGAATATTTGTAACGCAGAATTTAAAAGATATATTGAAAATCGAGTTTTGCTATGCCCAGTTAGCAACAGAACTTCCCTCACATTTTATTTATTTCAACTCTTTACACTTGCATATTGGTCACCAATTTACGTATAGAATAATCACTTCCTTCAAAGATTACGTGAACTATATTCAAACGCTCATCTACATAGATACTGACTAAATTTAACACTCCATAATTGATATGGAACCCACGTTTCAGTTATATTTGGTGCAGGTTAGTAAGTTACGGAGAAATCTTTCAGTATTCCTTAGAACTACACCCATCTTACTTATCGATTCAACGGTATATGTAATTAACTCAGAAGTTTTAGATAAACATTTTTTCTAAAAGAAAACTACCATCATATTCAAAAATGCGATCTGTTTAGATGAAGTATAACGTATTCCTGTTTGCTGTACTTTCAATAAATATGACTTATATTGTTGTCATAGAAATGTGACTTTCCAACCAGAAAATGATATTATTAATACTTATTTGATTAATTTGATCTTTTCACGTTTATAAGTTAATTGGTAGAAAAGAAAGGGATGAATATTAAACATTACTGAAAGTATGGTATCCGTAGTTTTCCTTAAAAACAAATTCCTTTCTACTTTTAAAAGTATGATCTATATAAATAAATTCTGCTGTACATGAAGTAAATATCATTACTTACGAAAAGATATATTTCAGAATAGTTCGCATTGCTAACTGACACAATCCTCTGGGGTTGTCAAATATGTTGATTAATATTGTATGCATTAATTAATTGATTGAGTAAATTGATATGATGCTCATAAATGTATCATCTCGAATAAGTCTAGTAGACAATGACAAATAATTGCCAATATCCCTTGAACCCAAATCTTTATGTTTTCTTGATCCTCAGAAATATCTAAAAATAACAGGTGACTTGTAACTTTCAAGATTCAGTCTGCTTAATAAAAGCTTAACTCACTGTACATTTCTATTTGACATCAAAGATACAATAGCAAAGTGTTTGAAAGATTTATACCTCGTCACAATTCCAATTTAAGATATGCATGACAGTGGATCATCGAATCAAATCAACTGAATATACCGAGAAATAATATCGTTATTAAAAGGAATTAATAGCTTTGTTTAGGATTTTTAAATTTTGAAACTGGTCTATGTCACGGACTGATATCAGCTGAGGAGTTACTGAAAACCAGCGAGCACTAGGCAGTCATTCTTTTTTAGTATGAAATGCCTCATCAATACACCCCCATGTTACTGTAAGAAATCGAACCTCATGGCCTTGGGGTATGGTGTCAAACGCATAAAATTTGGGCCACTGAGTTCTAATTTTATATTTCTCGTTTAAATTTGATTGATTTGCGGTATAACGAAACAGCCATCTCATTTTGTTGATGGAAAACTGATTTACTGACTATACTAAGGCGAAACGGACATTAAATGCTTGTTTTTATAATATTCTCGAACTAGCAATTATCCTGTGGCATAATTCACCGTCAATAATTTTCCAATTAATACTATTCCACTTTTACTTTTGATCGATTAAATAACCCTTAAAGCTGAATAATATATCGTACAGTTTGAAAGTCGCTTCGTTTAATTGTTATTAAATTTCAAATTATATTTCGATGAATTCGCTAAAGTAACTAACGAAATCTTGTCATATGAGTTCAATTTTCAATGACGTCAATTTTTTTATCAGTTATTTTATCCTTTTGTTACGTCATCCAATTATATAATACTTTTATACTTTTTATTTACTTGTTTATTTGTTTTAGTTCCAGGAACATTTTTCCTCATAACAATTATATGTGTAGTGATCATTAATAGTAAGTCTGTTGTATATTTTTATTAATTAATCAATTATAGTGTTCACAAAATTACAGGAACATCCATTATGAAAGAGTTTATGTTGACAATTTTCAAATCATAGTCAGTTAGTCATCGTCATCGTAAGATCTGGCTAGAATGTTGATGTATAAACACAGATAGACACGAAACTGACTTGATGTGATACAAATAAAGCGATCCTATATTATTTACATCAAGAAGCTAAATAGGAGTAACGTAGCTCATAGAGAATAAATTAGCTAGTAGAATGAAAAGTTTAGAATAAAAGTGAAACCAGGATTCATAGGATGATAGAAAATGGATATCATTTCAGCACTCCAGCCTATTATGAGTGTCATGTTACTCGGCATTGATAATAGGATGAAATCAAATGAGAGAAGGGTGAAGAGTTAGTTCAAAAACGTAAAGTGATGATAACTGATAATCAAAATTAAAATTAGGAAGATTAAATATATCGGAAGGATGCATTGAAATCAAATTACCATTCATGAAAATTAAGTGCTAGGGCTATGGAAGAATGATTGCTTGTATATGTCTGTAATCCACATAGGTTTCAGGTTTGAAATGATGGGATTCTAGCGCTTCTTTTTTCATGTTTTTTTCTATGTCGAATATCAGCTGGTGTTGTTTTCAAGATTCAGAAATCATTGAATGATAATAGTCGAAGTTATTCACCGGTTTATTGTAAAGTATCAAAGTTGTATAGCTAACGTAGTTATTCACTAGTTGAATTGAGTAATTTTAAAAACCTTCATACAAATGCAAATCTATACCAACTATTATAAGCTACGCAGTTCATTGTCTCTAATTTTAAATTTTTTCAATCTTAAGAATGTTGGCGTTAGCAGTAGCTCTTTGTATCTGCTAATTTTACTTCTTTATGATCGATGACTTATTATTCTGTTCCTTTTAAGACATTTACGACTTAGCTGTAATTTTTTGTAGCCGGATTACATCATTACTGACAACAAAAAAGAATATCATCATTACCCATTTTGTGACTTGATCATCTTACTTAGATAACTCTTATCATTAATTTGTGGAATGCCTAGTCTTTCTTCATTATTTTTATGGACGTTAATCTGTTGATTTTTATTTTTCGTTCACAGAAACGCTAACTGTTTCTGATTTACCAGTAATTAGGTAGTAGGGATTTTTCCATACTATGTTTCATGGTAACCGCTTATCACATGTTAATAACATAAAACGTTACACCTCTTTCAAAAGCTTTTACTACATTTTGGAAAATTATATTCGCGGGATCACATAGTCCAGTGCCAGTTACTCTGCTGTCCAAAACTATAAACTCCAAGGATATATATATATATATATATATATATATATATATATATGTATATATGAAGAGAGATTACAGACAATGGATCATACATATCTTCGTAGTGTTACTGGCATGTAATGGAACCTAGTTAAAATATTGAAGTGGTGATTTAGTTCTAGGTAAGAAGTATATGTTAGTCCATAGAAGTATCAACGCGGATCAATTGAGATGACGTGGTCATGTCCTAAATGCAACATTTCAACATTTAAGATAACAAGATACCATCATTAGATTATTTGTTAACATAATAAAAATTTCAGTACGTTCTAAAGCTTAATAAAGCCCTAACTGTAGCTAGACCGGAAAATATCACCATTAGCTGAAGTTATTGTACTCCGTGCGTGAAGGTAAGGACTTCGTGTATAGAATCCTTGATATGACAGAACTCACCAGTTGGATATCATGAATAACATAGCCAAGAGTTCACCAGAGACGATGCAAATAAGTCCACTCTTTGTATTGCCGTAAGTTTTTAAGATTTTATTATTAGTCAACCGTTATATTACCTTGTGGTGGAACCCAACAAAAGAGCTTAGTCAAAATATAGCAATACTCAAAGTTACCAATAATATACCAAAAGAATTAACACTACAAACCTAAGCGTACGTCTATGAGTAACGCAAAAGGTAACAAATCACAGTGTAATTATAAAATGGTGTATTGAACACAAAATGGTAACAGTTATTATGGAATAAATGTTACTTATAAACTTCTCTCTGAGATAACAACCACAAATAAGTTGATCTGATCAACAAAGGTTCCTCTGCACGTGATGGCACAAACGGCAAAATGAAGAAGATTAAATCCTGTAGTATAATTTAATAATGATTCGGGCCAAAGCTCCAAAGTAGTGTGGGAAGGCCTAAAAGGATGCTATAATACTATTATAATCTTCAATCAAGGACTGTGGCTAATGAAGCAGAAGAATGGACGGCGGAGAGAGCGTTTACATTTTAAGAACCGCGATAGTGCAGTGCATGTTAGATATAACCAAACAAATATATTCGTTTCTTTACCATTGATACAAAGAAACAATATATATTGAATATAAATGTCGTTACATATAAAGTGTGACAAATAGAAAAAATATGTGATCTTTATTTTGTTGCTACAAAATATCACTGAATATAAATGTTACAATAACCTTTACTTGTTTATTCTTAATTATTTTAATGTTGTTATATATCGTATTTCGTTAAAAATAAATTCTTCATTTCTATTAGTATACTTCCATGCACTTAGTACTTGACGGTATTTCATTTTACTTGAACCTCCAGTCAGAATAACAGAATGTACAAGACAATCAGTCACATATTCCAAAAATCTTATAACTTCTCGTTATCCGAGATAAGTTTGATAGTTTAAGAAATGTATGATAATGTATAACAGCCTGCGTGATTAACAAAATGGCTGTTGTTCGATGACTGATTCACTGTATGCTTGATACTTGTATAGAATATGAGCAGTCTAAGTTGTTTTCTTCCATTTTCAAATTTTCGTCTTCTGTAAAAATCCTGTTATGTTCACTGTCAATCGTAGTATGCAGAGAAACGTTTTACTGGTATAATTAAACCAACTTGTCTTATCATGCTATGTCCTGTATAATGGAAGATTTGAGTTTTCAGATGTAGTCACTAATACCTTTCACTTCATGTCATTTGTTTTATTGACTGGAATTACTTATTATCATTGTTATGAAAATTACTTTACAGATTTTTGATGAAAAGAAGTTTTTAAAAGCTTTCACATTGTTTCTTTTTTCAAAAATAAAACTTATCCCCATTTTCTTTATTGACATTTATTATAGAATCTACATTCAAGAGAGTTTTTTTGAAACAATTTGACGTTGATATTTTCTAACATTTGTTACAATTTTCTTTTGAATAGTAACAACTGACTTATTTCGCCTTTGGTAACTTCGTCATTTTCCAGATATTATTATTACTAGACTTCTGGGTTTTACTAAATCTTAATAATTTTGAAAAGAAAGTTATTGTTCACGGGAAAGAAAACAAATAATCTCTCTTGACATTTAGATATGGTTATTAAATAATCAATAAAATGTCGAGTGTAGCTTTTAAGCCCCGCTTATTTACGATTATAACGTAGTATTCACTGTGTCATTCTCATAATAGATATTATTTTTATTGCAAACTGATAAGTCTTGCTAATTGAACGCTATACTTGGTTCCTGAGCTATTCTCGTAACCCCGAAGCTAAATCTACACAACAACTTGAACGCGAGAGAAAAGGCGCAAATTATGCGAGAAGCACTTTACTCCAAAAGTTCATTCATGTACAGAAAATATAGGGTTTTTATAGTGTCTCAGAAGTCCTTGGACTTTCCTGAAAACTCCGGAATGCTAATAAACATAGGAACAGTGTAGTAATCAGCCAATCGGAAACTCATAATGTAAATTTTCAGTTTCATGTTGTGTCTGGCAAAGCTTCTAGTGAACGCTGATTGAATAAAATGCTTCATTGTGTTTGCTGAGACTTTCTTGTCTTTTGCGGGTTTTCTGGATCACCCCAACACAAACAGTGTAACTATACTTCAGCAACGTCTTCGAGTGATAATTACAATGACATTAGAGAAGTTTATTCTGTCTTTGGTCAATTGAAAAATTGCTTTTGAGAAACAAAGAAGAAATAATACAAAGTAAATTATATAGCAAGTCATATGAAATCTAACTGATATAAAAGTTTTCAGTAGATTCTGTTGTCCTTAGGTTGAAATACATCCTGCGTGGAAGTTTGCCTATTTGATTCCATATCTTTTTTCTTTTTGAGGGGAACATTATTATGACTTAAACAATGAACGGAAACTCAGTTAAAATAGTCCAAGTAATTGCATTATGCAAACTCACGCAGTAGCTTTATAAAATATCAAAATCATACAATAAGTTCGTCATTTGCATATCTTCCTTGGGTTGTTTTATATATAATTTATCATTCTTCCGATCCTGTTGTTATTTCCATTGCTCGTCATTTTCTCTTTTTTATTTCGACTCTTCTGCTGGTAAGCATTCTACTACCGATTCCTGTTATATACTACTTATGTCTGTCCGCATAAGTAGCGCACACCACACCTGGATAAGTTACGCGCGTTTTCTATAAACACTGAGTATCAGACCGACGAGATGTAAACATATGTTTTTCAATTATTAAGAAAGACATCTACAGAGAGCTCCATCTCATATCTTTAAAATTTACTGAAGTTACATGAAATAAACAACAACTCTTCATACTTCATTCATATTCTTTCCCGCTGTCACATTTCATGCATAAAGTTCATCAGAAATTCACGAACACACTACTTAATTTGACTAAGAACACAGCAGTCAGTCATGCCTGACATAGAACCTGAGACATGCTAATCGGTTCAAGTGACCACACTCAATCATCACAGCGAGTTGTCGTAGTATCACAAGTAGCTACAAATTAAATGATAATAGAAAATATCAGGCGAAAACAATGTCTCGAGAAAAAAAGTATTAATTCTTGGAATAAAAACATTTTTTAAGATAGTCTTAAAGCCCGATATTTAAGACAAAGTGAACGAGAATGATAATGATTGGTTGTTTTGCTTAGTCAGACTTGTAGGTAGTCTGACAGGTGTCAGATGAGTTATATATTCCC